CGATTGTAATGGACTTTTATTGTTGGAAAAAAAAAAAAAAAAAAAAAAAAATTATTTGGTCTAAATAATATTTCTTATATATATATTACTTTTATTTATGCAAAATAGATATAGTAATTTGTTCATCACCCCAACAAAAAAGTGGTCAAAATATCACAAAAACAATATATTTGTACATATACTATCTTGCACACGTGTGAGCATGTCATGCATGTCTCATATGAATATTCTCAGCCATATATATATCCAAAGGAAGAGCCCATACTAAGGCACAGAAATACTTGCAACATTAATTTTTAATATAACCCTTATCTTCGTTGTCTCTATTGCGACAATGCCCGCATGGGCTAAAACTATAACTACAATACATAGTTTTTTTCTTTTCATTTTTTTTTTTCAAATTTCTTTTTCATTTATAATTATTAACAGATCACCTAAAATATTGATATTTAGAAATTAACCCTTGAAGTGATTTTTTTGAACCATCGAACTGATTTATTTAAACATGCCACGCTTAAAATACTGAGAACTTGGTAGAAATGAAAAATATGAGTTGGTTTTTATCATGAATTTTAATATTTGAATAAGAATTTGAAAATTGGATGAAAGAGAATGGTTGATTTGTAAATAAAAAATTTGGGTTGGTCTTTATGTAAATGCCCCCATTTTCCCAATTATGATATATATATATATATATATATATATATATATATATTATGGTTTTCATCTTGTGACTTGTGACCCCTCCACTTAATTTCATGCATGGGAAATGAACGGCTATTTGGTGAGGATTCTCATGCTTTTTAAAGAGTTTAATCTGTCGCCTCTACTTTGGAATTTGAGGTGTAAATAATTTAATTTTATGTACTTGAATTCCATAAAATTAAACCCAACTTTCATTCACTAATGCTATTGAAATGCAAATTAAATTACACGAGTTGTTGAAATGTTGATTCTCTGCAATTCACAATTTTATTCTTTTGTTTTAAATTTTTAAAATGCATTTTTTTTTTTTTTTTTTTTTTTTTTTTGCATTTGGTTGTTTGTTTTCTTGTAAAAATTATAAAAATTGCATTTTTTTTACATTCAATTTAAAAATATAATAATAATAATTTTATTATTATTATTATTATCCTATGTATAATTTATACATCTCACACCCAAACTTTCGTATTTACATACTTAGCCCTTTGGTGCTTTCAACCTGTACATGAAAAGGTGTATTTCCCTTTTAAAAAATGATAATAAGATTTAAATGCTAAATGTATAAATATAAAAGTTTTAATGTGTGATATGTAAATACATAAAAATTATATGTTATGTATGTAATACCCCTTATTATTATTAAAATCATTATGCAACATGAATATCACCACTATTAATGTAAGAATTACATTATAATTATTATTAATTTCTGAATTTTTATTTCTAGACAAGCTTGATCTGTACATTGATAGCTCTGATTTGATAAGTTAGTTTCGCTTCTTAGATGGGTCCCTTTGTCTCCTTTCTTATGGCCCTAAAACATAGGGATTATTGTATGGAATGTAACATGGTGTTAGGTCCGCTCATAGGTTTCCATTAAAGGTATGTTCATGAATCTATCTTAATGGTCATTGGTAAAGTTCATAAATAATTACTTATATTTCAGAGAAATTTACTTTAGTAGCACACAATTCTTCTGTATTTACATATCTCTCACATAAATTTACATATTTACATATTTAGCACTTTGGTGCTTTAAGCATATGTATGAAAACTGTTGTGAGATATGTGCTTCATGGCATAGAAATGAAACGTAAAGAACACAAGCAAACACAGATCGTTTACGTGGTTCGGTCCAACCGGATCTACGTCCACGGGAGGGAATCAATCAAATAGTTCACTAAGGCAAAAGAAATGAAAAATACATTAGTTTATACATAGAGATGAGCCATCATCTTCCTTCTATGGCCTCCCTCTCAAGCGACACCTTGATACAAGGCCTCAAGATGCTTTCTTCTCTCTAGCTCTCTAGCTATTCTCTCATCCTTTATCGTATTTTAAGAATTTTTCCCTTGCTCTCCTAAGTCTCACACCCTCTCTATTTATAGAAGCAAAAGAATGGTAGGTGAGAGGTAGGTAGGTAGGTGGGAGGTAGGTGAGCGGTAGGTGAGATATGGTAAGTGAGCGATATCACATTACAGAAGTGTCATTTTACCTTAGTTCATTAATTGGGGGTCAAAATAACAAAAACAATGTTATTTTTGATGTGAAGTAATAAAATTAAATATTTATATATCAAAGTTTAGGTGTGAGCATGTAAATACATAAGAATTGTGAGCTATGTATGTAAATGCCCCACAAATTTAAATGCTTAGTGTTTGTGTGCATGATTAAAATATTAAAAATGTGATGTAATAAGTGAATAAATTAAATAGTTTGAATGAACACAATCTATTCCATAAAATTATAATTGTTGTGTTTATACAAATGAAAGAATAATTTATTATAAAAAGAGACGACTTAAAATAAATCAATTAATAAATTGATAATTAATATTTATTTAAATAAATATGATGATGATATTTTTGAGTCCCTAAATATGTGTCATGCCATGAATATGGCAAACGTTATATACTTTGATAGTATAGAATATTGATGCATCTTATGGGGGTTTAAAATTGGCCCGATACGTGAACACAATTTGAACTCGACTCGAAAAATCCGAGTTAGACCTGACTTAAATATTTTCAAGTCTGATTATTTGGGTCGGGTTCGAGTTGGCCCGATTTAAATCGAGTCATTTTTGGGTCAGATCAAACCAGGCCCGCTAATCTGCATTGACATCTCTAATGCATCATAGAATAGAACATTAATAACTCTTTTTCATATTGAGTTCAAATCTCTTGCAAATAGTTAACCAAACTCATGTATGGTTATTCAAATTGAGTTTAAACCTAATTGGTCAAATGCTTGCATGAATTTGAAATCAATTTAAAACCGATTCAAATCAAATTGAAATATTATTCATTTCACGTGAAGCTAACAAAGCAATGTTGCTCCCCATGCTTATTTTGTACCTTTATAAGACATCACATGAGCTTGTGCAGCCATGAAGTGACATACTATCTCTCCCTTCCTCTCTCTGAGAGAGAGGATTGGTGAGTAATTTAAAATAGTCAGCTTGAATTTCTTATGAAAAATGATATCTATGTCCTATGCTTTATAGAAATAAAAATCAGAGTTTTGGGGTTAGATATGTAAATACATGAGAATTGAGAGGAAATATATAAATCTTTCTTATTATATATATAAACTATTGCTTTCCATGCATATTAGCTATACATCACTATAACATGAAGCATCTCAAATATGTCAATCCCTATCATCAAAATCTCAGGCTGGGCCAATATCATAAAAGAAAGAAAATAATGCAGAAGAATATGGATAGCTATCTCAAAACATGACCCCACATTTGTTGGTTGATGATGAGAAATCCTATCTCTTAGAAATAAAGCACCTTCATTTTTTTAAGAGACATTTGCATACATATCACGTAATTCTTATATATTCACATATCTAACACTCAAATTTTTCATATTTACATTCAAACCACTCAAATCTTTAACATGTATGTGTTCGTAACACACTAAGGGTGGTTCTAAATGTAAATATTCAACTTTTGGTATGTTAAATATGTAAATAGATAAGAATTGTTGGGTATGTATCTAAAATTCCTTCTATTTTATTTTTTCAAAGAAGATGCTCTGGACCATCAAACAACTGTAAAGATGCAAGAAATGGAAAGAACACAATCACCTCAAAGTGCTGCTGACTGGTTTTGTTGCCAGAAAACCAGCTGTATTTGGCCTCACCATAATTGGATTTTGGAGGCATTTTACATGCATACCCACCTAATTCTGGCGCATTTATATATCTGACACCCAAACTTTAATTATTACATTTATACCACCCAAATATTCATCAAAAATACCATCATTTTAACTTCTACAAAGAGAAATATACCCTTTCATGCATAGATAAGGTGGCTTGTACGTAAAAATTGAAGTTTGTGTGTTAGATATGTAGATACATATGAATTATGGGCTATGCATGCAAATCCTTCTTGGATTTTTCCTGAAGCAATATCTCTGATTGAATCTCATAGGCGACGGTGATGGTGATGGCGACGGCGATGAAGAAGGAATGAGAACTGCATGCAATCCTGTATTTCTGTTTGAGAGTTTCATGGAAGTTAAAAGATGATCAAAGTCTGCATTGCAGTCAGAAAACCTAAGGCAACGTCTGGTGTTTGTACTCATTCAACCAGCACGATGATCAGAATTGAACCTAATGTGAAAATTTTGGATTTGTGACCGACCTGTTTAAACAATAAAGAATATTTTAGATGCTAATCGGGACATTTTCCAACACTATGAGAGCTTAGCATTGAAAAAATTTAAACGTTAAAATGAGAGTCGCTAATTGATTTTGTGTCGACATTAAAGTCATATTTTTATTTGCATCACAAAAATTGGTCGCTAAAAAATTCCGTCGAAAAACAAGTGATTTTGCTTAATGCGCAATAGCGTCCAATCAGTCTGACGCTAGCATCGAACTGGTTGAACGCTATTGCATCGATTTAATGACGTCTCATATAAAATAATTGATTGTTGTCTTTAGTGTCAAAATATTCTGACGCTAATCTAATGCAAACCTGTAAGAAACAAAAAAAAAAAAGACACAACAAAACGATTAGATTTGCACATATCTGCACATAACAAACACAAGCATCATAATAGATATCTATCTACCATTACAACTGATAAAAGAAATCTCCAAATAATAGATATCTATCTACCATTACAACTGATAAAAAAAATCTCCATATTTACATAATGACACCAAATTAGATTAAACATAAACATATCAAATTGGTCAAACTTCACAACACAAGAAATGAAAGTTCACTTAAACATAAATGAAGAAAAATATAAAGTCAGTCCCTATGTCGAGGAAACATCATCAAACACAAAAAAAAAATCCTATTCTTCCTTCTCATCATCATCCCACTCCTCATCCTCCTCAACTAGAAACACGTCACTTACTCCGACGATCAAAACTCTCTGTCATGAGTGCAGACTATCTACAACCAACTGTTGGATTTCATGCATCAATCGAAGCTCTTTATTTATCATCATAATCCTCCTAGCAAGCTCATCATGATGAGCCTGTAACGAGCTAGGGCAACCCACAACTACACGGGAACGTTCGGCCTCAAATGCTATCCTCTTGGCTCTGAGACCATACACTCTTCCCTTCTTCCCCGCCGCCCGCGTCCACAACTCAAAATCGAATTGAGCTGCGGTAGACTGGCTACCAGCATTGGAGACAAACAATGAGATCTGGCTAGTCATCTCCCTCTGTCTCTCCCGGAGCTGCTTGTACCCCTACAAAACAAAATTCAAATATTAATTGGCATTTGAAACATTAATTCATATTAAGAGCCCCCCCAAAAAATATAAAATAATTTTTTTAACTAATATTGACACGTCGAGAGTGGTCGAATACTCACTGTTGTGTGCCTGGGCGATATATGAGGAAATGCAACTCTGCAGTGAATAGCTCTCGGTCAAGCTTCTTGGCCTGTATACATATACTCTTATCAGTCTCCAGTAGTGTTATAAGCTGATAAATTAGGGTAAATCAATGCAAGAACCAACGAACACAAGAAAGAACACACGGATTTAACGAGGTTCGACAATATGCCTACATCCTCAATAGCAAGAGCAGCGGCTTTCTAATTTCTTGAAAAAATAGTACATACACTTAGGGTTACAAATGTTACGGGCAAACCCCATACCAAAAATAGCGCCGACATACATATATAAGGTTGATCCCCGATCAACCCCATAATCTGACCGAGGGGCGGACCCCTTTTCCAGAAAGGTGTGCAATTCAGTCCTACGTAGGGATCGAACCCCCGACCCGAGGGACTTACACCAAAGGCCGCAACCAATGAGTCAGGCTAACACACACACACACACACACACACACAGATATAACCCTGGTGTACAATATGTAATTACAAAATTACTCATATATTGTACCGTGGGGGCGCTACCCTCGCACCCCCCAACCCACTTAACATAACTCCCCCGATTGGACTATCATGCTCTTATATGTTACGCTACAGCATCTACCCCATATTTGGTAAATGGGTCATACTTAACAAATCTCCACCTTCGCAAATATTAAACCCTTCAGGAGAAAGATAACTTGGAGTTTCTCACACACCGAAGTGGGTTGAGCTATCATGCTTGTCTAGCAACTGTGAATATTCAACAAGCTCAAGCAATGTAAGAATTTGTTGATAATAACTGACTTGGTCAACATATCAGCTGCATTCTCATTAGTATAAATTTTCTGCAATAGTATCTCATCAGAAGCAATCAATTCTCTAATCTTGTGATATCTGACATAAATATGCTTAGTTTTCGCATGGTACACCTGGTTCTTAGTCAGATAGATGACACTTTGACTATCACAATGCAACTGAACTAGGGGTGTAAACGAGTCGAAAACGAGCGAGCCCCGACTCAGCACTTGTTCAGCTCTTGTTTGGCTCGTTTACATTTCGAGCTCAAAAAGTGTGTTCGTGTTCGACTCGTTTGCTTAGCGAGCCGAACACGAGCCGTTCACGAACAAATAGTCGTTTTGACAACCCTAATCACGTAGTCATAAGATGTTAAGGATTGGGGCAAAATTTAAAACATCATTTGAATCTAATTTAATAATTTTATTCTATTTTCTTAATTAATACTTTTAATTTATTATAAATCTTGGTAGCCTTGTAGTCAATTAATTTTTTTAAAAAATACTACTCATCAAAGATATATGTATATAATTTATGAGTAGTATATTGAGCCAAAACGAGCCGAACACGGACGAACAAATATTTTTTCGTGTTGTTCGTGTAAGATGAATAGTATTAACTTAGCGAACGAGTCAAACATGAGCTTCTTAACGAGCCGTTTTGACAGCCCTCCACCTTTCAGCTGTTCACGAACAACGAGCCGTTTTGACAGCCCTCCACCTTTCTCAACATCCAGTTCCTTTCCTAGTCAGTAAGTCATAAGGTTTATTTAATAGCTTCGGTTACTGTCATGTACTCAGCTTCAGTTGTAAATAATGTCACAATGGACTGAACTGTTGATTTCCAACATATAGGCCCTCCACTAAGAGTAAAAACATATTCAGTTGTAGACCTTCTATCATCCAAATCGCATGCATGGTCTGAATCCACATACTCTACAAATGAAGGATCATTTTGCTGACTACCAAAAGCAATTTCATGTTCTACAGTGCCCTTCAGATGCCTAAAAAATCCACTTAACTGTTTCTCAATGTCGTCTTCCAGGTTTAGACATGTATTTGCAAATTTGACTAACTGCATGAACCAAATCAGAGCGAGTACATAGCATTACATACATCAAGCAGTAAATTGCACTGACATATGAAACATTTGTCATGTCTTCGATTTCCTTATATGTCTTAAGACACTCTTTTGAAGAAAACTTAAAATGATTTGTCAATGGTGTACTCACAAGCTTTGTTTTGCTTATCCCAAACCTATCTAGCACTTTCTCAACATAGCTTCGTTGAGATAAAAATAGTCTTCAAGAGCCTCTATCTCGATGAATCTCTATTCCAAGAATTTTTTTTGTAGCACCCAAGTCTTTCATGTCAAATTATTAGTTCAATAAAATTTTCAAACCAAGGACATCATGCATATTATTTGCAACAATCAGTATATCGTCAACATACAGTAAAAGAAAAATAAAAGAACTATCATCAATGTTCTTAACGTAAACACAACAATCATACTCACATCGCTTGTAGCCAATCAGAATCATGTAAGAGTTGAACCTCTTGTACTATTATCTTGGAGACTGTTTCAACCCATACAACGATTTCTATAATTGCAAATCGGAAGTCCATGTTCAGGTTGAGTGAACCCTTATAGCTGTTCAATATAAATATGCTCCTCTAGATCATCATGCAAGAATGCAGTTTTAACATTCATTTGTTCTAGAAACAAGTCTCAAATAGCTACTAATGTAAGCACTGCCCTGATTGAAGTATGTCTGACCACAGGAGAAAATATTTCATCATAATATATCATCTTCTGTTATGAAAATCCTTTTGCTACTAGTCGAGTCTTAAACTTCCTTCTTTTTCAGATACTACCGGTTTCCTTTTGTATACCCACTTGCACCCAATAGTTTTATTTCCCTCAAAAAGTTTTTGCATCCGCATTAGTGTCCGCTAATGCCGACACTAATAAGTAATTTCAGCGTCGACATATGCAGATGCTAAGCCGACGCTATAGCGTTGGTTTGGCTTCCGCTAATGCTGACGCTAATAAGCAATTTTGGCGTCGACATATGTGGATGCTAAGGATTAGCATCCTCCACTCGACGCAACTCCTCAGCTTTGATTCTTTTGATAGCTAGACTGTGGGCGACACTAAACAGACGCAAATTGGTCACTAATTTTGCATCAGAATTATTTCCTACACTAATATAGACGCTAGTCCGCAGTATTCTCATAGTGAAAGTTCAAGTCGAGTCTCATAGTGAAAGTTCAGGTCGAGTATGAGTTGAAGACTCGAGCTTGGTTTGAGATTTTCAACTCATTTCGTAAGCATAATAGATTCAGTTTCCATTATTTGTGTCTGATTGATCACTAGCGATTGATACATGTTTTGAAGGGACAAACTCAATGGAATAGTTACATCCACGAGCAACAGTTTAGGAAGATTTACATGCATACCACTCAATTCGTATGTATTTACATATCTAACACAAACTTCTAATTTTGCGTACCTGCCACTTTACCCATGCCTGAAAAGATGTATTTCAATTTTTAGAAGTTAAAACGGTGGTATTTCTAATGTGATATGCAAAGATTTAAGTGATATAAATGTAAAAAAAAAAAAACTTAGGTCTTAGATATGTAAATAGTTTACTACACTTTTTTGAGATGCAGACGAACAATCAAGGGATCGTGTTAAGCAATCATCGTCATCAATTAATTCTCAACTTGACAATATCAACATTGATCTCAATAATATGTCACAACTGGCATCTATAATAAAATAACCCAATCCATATAAGCAAAACAAATCACTTCTCACTATATATCAAATTGTGAAAATGATGAAAGCTCTTGGTCATGACTACTAAAAGCTGATACATGTAAAAATGGTTTGCGTCATATTTTATAAAAGGAAACAAGTTGATGAAGTGTTTGATATGATTTATGCCTAAGAAAGATTCTATAGAATAATATTTATCAGATGTCTCGGATAAGGTATTGTGTTACTATGAGGCTTTACAGGGAGATATGCCTTTGAAAATATATTCAATATTATAATGGATTCTCCTAATAAATCAAAAAGATATAATCAATGCTAGATGAGACCTAAGAAAATATTATAAAACAATGATATTTACAAATTGACCGCCCAGGTGATTTTTTTTAACTACCGTACCAATGTAGTTATGCGTGCCACGATCAAACCGTGAGTATTTGGTAAAAATGAAAAATATAGTATTATCATGAATTTTAATATTTGAGTGAGAATTTAAAAAAAGAAAAATGGATGAAAGAGGGCGGTTGATTTGTAAATAGCAAGTTTAGAGTGGACTGTATGTAATTGCCCCCAACTAATTGGCGCTAGCATGAAAATATTTGACGCATATTATATGAAAACAAGTTAGGTATGCACCCAAAATAGGATGGCACATACCAATATGAAGTTAAAATTTACCAAAGCTTGGTATGTGTCAAAGTTACGATGGCACATCACTAATTATGGCTGACAATATTAAAATTCACTTCAACAAATGAAAATATAAAAGACATCTATTTATGGCTGACAATATTAAAATTTTCATATTGGTATGTGTCAAAGTTAGGATTGTCAAATAAATAAAAAGGATTTCTTACTTCATATTATATGAAAACACGTTTTGACAGGAAATAGGCTTTTGATGAAAAATACGTGTTATGTGATGAATGCCATGTTTCTGTAACACAATAATCTTACATGAATTGCCCCACATTCCCACTTTCAAGTATCATAATAAACTACCATATTTCAACGAACAATTAAGTAAATATAACATTTTCCTTGCATCTCTAGAGTTTTATTGATTGTTTCAGGATAAATAAACTTGATGCAAACCGTAAAATACAATTTAAAGCAACTTTATGATTGGACATATGAACATTTGAACAATAGAAGTGACATACTAAAAATGCAAATGAGGAACTTGCTTAGGTGAAAACATAAATTAAATTAAATTAAAGTGTTCTCTACACAAGATAATTTGACAAAGGTGTTTGTGATTGTAGCAATATTTGCTATTAAAGTGCACAAGCTTCCTCTCGCTCTCTCTATATCTGTTTGAGTGTGTCAATGGGGTAAATAACCAACAAATTATGCATTTTTATATTTTTCAATTTACATCTCATCATAAACTACATCAGTACACTCTAAGAACTTAGTGTCTCACACTATAATCTTGTTATGACAAATCTGCCATATTTGCTTTGGCAATAAATTAATTTTGAACATTGGCATCATCCTCTTAGCACATTTTTTGCCAAAACGAGTGTCTTCCAGTAAAATATATAGCATTTCAAAAATTTCAAAAGCGGTCGTGTCTTTCAGTACTGAAAGAAACTAGTTTGCAGTTATAGCAGTACAAAGCATAGTTCATAAGCATTATAAAATTGGTACTCTGCACAACAAAAGAAGCAAAAAGAATAACATGCAAATTTACATGAAAAATTGAGTAAAATCACTGTCAGAAAGGAAGAGTTTACTAAATCGAAAGGAAAGGAGGCTAACATGTAGAGAGTGGCGGCTCACATAACATGAAAACCCTGAAAATCCTAAATAAATATGAAGCATTTACATACATAGCACACAATTCTTATGCATTTACATATCTTGCAACCAAACTGTCATATTTACACGCATAGCATTTAAATCCTTACAATCACATAAAAAAAATAACAGTATTATCACTTTTTAAAAGTTAAATATACATTTTCATGTGAAGGTTTAAAACACCAAAGTGTCATGTAAGTAAATATGAAAGTTTAGGTGTGAGATGTAAATACATAAGAATTGTGTGCTAGGTATGTAAATTGCCCAATAAATACTTATATTCATATGTGTGTGTGTGTGTGTGTATATATATATATATATATATATAATGTGCCCGCACAAAAGAAATGACAATAATAATAAAAATAATAATAAGGGAAATGCTCCTGTACATCCAAATTCATATATAACCAACTTCTAATCATATTAACAGCAAATTGGAATAATGTTGGATCATGATGAAGTTTTAGCTTTTGGAATTCATTTGAAATGAATGCAATACAGAAGTTAAATGATTAGCCAAATATTGCAAAACATTTTAAAAGCAATTGAATAGCTTAAATAAAAAATATATTAAATTTTAACTTATTATGACCCAAAATTTCCCCTTACAAATTAAAGAGCGTTTAATCACTATCAAATGGCAACTATTTTGTAGTTTTGCAATATAAGCTAAAGCTTAATTAACATATTTTACCTCAAGTAAAATAAAGAAACAAAAATTTGAAAAAAAAAAAATCAGAGAAGATTATTGATGAGAAGATAATTTGTATCAAATAAAATTTACATTAATCAGGAAAAATACAAGTAACAATGCACCATAGAAAATGTTATATTAGCACTAATTTCAATTAAAGAAAAACAACAATCACTTGAACGTTTCAAAATTTATCCATTACATGGCATTGTAAAATAAACTATTTAACTGAGAAAACTACATTTTGGTTATCATTTAACAACTAAAATATCAAATTCCTATGTTACAACTCAAGCATGCACCTCCTGAAATTATGAGGTGAAATCTAAAACAACTTCTAGCTTGTTGGCCATAGAAAAAGAGGCAAAAGAGACTTCCAATCACTATACATTATTGATCATTAATAAAAATAAACAGATAATTACAACAGCCTAATCTCTAAACTACACTCCACAATTATATAAATTTACAGGAATTTCTCAAAGAAAATTAGTTACCTGATAAAAATTGAGGGTGATTCAGAAAAATGCCAGGGATTTTGATATCAGTTTCATTTTCCTACTAAAAAAGCCAAAGGACCTGTATTTTAATTCTAATTTTTTGGATTTCTTCACTGGATGTTCAACAAATTCAGATTCAGGTTCAAAATAAGGCTTTTGGCTCTCATCAAAGTCAATATTTCTGGTATCTCTCAAAACATGGAGTAGCTTAAGAGAGTTCTCCTTTCCCTTTTCACTTCCAGTCACAGAAATATTTACAAGAGATGGAATAATCCCCTCCTTCAAAACAAGTAGGCAATTTCTCAAATTGCGAGAACAAAGGGAAAGAAAGATGGCAACAGCTTGTTCCTGCTCGGGTCCACCGAATTCAAGAACTTCAGCTATGGAAGCAATGCAGCTATTGCAATCAGCGATAAGCATCAAAGCCTCTTCATCGCAAACAAGATTCTCCAGAATATTTAAACTAAATTTTCCCAGACTTTTAACACACAAAAATTGACCAATTTTTTCTATATATCCAGAACAAAGAAAGAGAGATCTCATTTCGCCATTAGATGAGAGCTCTGAGAGGATCTTCATGGCAATCTCAATAAGTTCGCTGTTCTCAGAATTTATAAATTTTATGACTTTGAGTGGAATACTGGATGAGACAATATGTGGCACAAAGTCCGGATGAATAGAAACTTTTTGCAGAATCATTAAGGCTTCACGGTCTATACCACAATTAAGAAGAGAAGAGAGAATTTGAATCACATCTTCAATTTTGAAATTAAGCTCCCATCTGCATAGAGCAAGAATGTTTCAGCATCTCTGAAACTGAAGAACACAAAAGAAAAATATAGGAAGATTTACAAACATACCACTCAATTCCTATGTATTTATATATCTAACACCTAAACTTCAATTGTTACATACATACCACCTTATCCAAGCATGAAAAGGTGTATTTCACATTTTATAAGTAAAACTGTGGTATTGTTATGTTATATGAAAGATTTGGGTGGTATAAATGTAAAAAATAAAGTTTACTCCCCCACCCCACAAGTAAAATGGTTCAAAGTACAAAATAAAAGTGCCTACAACGCACAACTACCTCTGATTAGTCAAAAGTGCAAGAAATATTTGAGCTCCTGTTCTTTGCGCTAGAAAATCAGATAATGAGCATACTTTCTTCAGAAATACCATGAGTGCTTCAGCAAACCCACTAGAGAGGAGGCCGCATTGGTCCATTTCCTCGCCTTCCAGTAAGTCTTTTATTTCTTCCACTGCTTTAACTTGGAGTAAAGTTGGAAGCTCAGAGAAACGAAATAAGAACCTCAGATACATATCCTGACTAAATTTTGAAAAAGATTGATAATTTTGGTAATCTTCACTCCAGGAGAACAATTTCACATAATTATTGTTTGAGCCCTCGATGTCTTTAACATGAGATGAATCTGTAGAACAACGAGAACCAAACGTCAAAGATGACATATTTTTCTCACTTTCAGATAAAAAGTAGTCTCCTTTGGTTCCATCCAACAATACTGTAGAAATGTTTTTCAAACTTGAAACTGAGCTGCTGGAAATGGACTCCAATGCTTGAATGTCTGTGTCTTCAAGCTGGGTGCAAGGATTTGGAATAAAGACGCCATTCTTTCTGCACCAGTTTGAAATAAGATCCTTCATGCTTGAATTAGGAACCACAGAAAAATTTTCCAATTTTTTCCGAGTCTTAGGGCATGTATCGTGCCCCTCGCCAAACCATTTTTCGATAAAAATCCTTTCGTAAGTTTTTCCAGAAGCTATGACGACCGGATCAAACATTAGACTTAATGAAATCGGACAATAGAATTCTTCAGGAGGTGAGTCACCACTGATTAATTCAGTTTGAACTTCAACATTATCTTTTAAGGGGTTATTCTGCAAATTTACATACTCTCTTCGTTCCGATGTATCAGGCCTTAATTTCTTTTCATAAGTCTTAATGAGATAAAGGAAATACATTAGTATTTTCTTTTTTTTATCATTAACATTATGAAACTTATCCAGAAGCCTTCTTATGGCCCTTCTCTCTACCAAAAGAGCTATTGAAGATGTGATGTTTAACCTTGAAGCTACCTTTTGGAAGGCACCCAATTCTTGGTCTTCGCTTGAGTTGATTTGCTCCAGAAGGTTAGATAAGATTTTTCCTGCCTCCTCTTCTACAGGATTAATGATGAATTTTACTTCTCTGAGATAATCAAGAAATTCAGCAATCTGCAAATAAAATGATACAAAATTAAAATAATTATGACAATAAAATGCATATGCATAAAATAAGAAACACAGATTAAATTGTCTTTGTTGTGCTCATATCATCATCTTATCATAAAATTGCACTTCAAATAAAAAGAGGCATTTACAAACATACGACCCAATTCCTATATTGACATTTTAATACCTAAACTTTATTTTTTATGTTTATACCACCCAATTCTTTTATATTACATCAAAACTATCACTTCTTTTAACTTTTAAAAGTGAAAAACACCTTTTCATGCATAGGAAAGGTTGTATATACATAAAAATTGATGCAAAAATTAAAATTTTGGTGTTAGATATGTAAATACATAGGAATTGAGTGGTATGTATATAAATCTTCAAATATCTATCTATCTATCTATATATATATATACATATATATATATATATATATACATATATATATATATAT